GAAGGGTTGATTCCCTCCAAATCTAGGTAGGTTTTATTTTTATTCAATATAACAAATCACCTTTCTCTTTTCATTTTGCCTTCCAGGAAAGTTGGAGCTAATTTTTTTTCAGCAACAATCTAGCGCCTAACGTTATCTGCTCCCTAAGTCCTTTTCACCTTAACCCCTTCTCTAACTTGTTTTGCCTGACCCTGGTTTTTCATTAGATTTTATTCACCATTTGTGTTTTTGTTATGAGCAGCCTCAAAACTTTTGGGGACTGTGGTCGGGTAGGAGTGGTCTACAAACAAGACAACCATAATTTCAGGGGACGTTTAGGTCAATTGGCAAAATACAATTTATAAAGATAATGTTCTGTATTCTAGTCTGGTGAGCAGTGTTGGAGGTCTTAAACACTTGTGAGAGGCCATCTAAAAGCAGCTATTGGTCTCTTCTCACTTGGAACAAAGGAGAATGAAGAGAACTGAAGACTCAAGGAAATGACTAGTCCAGGGGACTAATGACCTATCTCAACCACAGCCTCCTCCAACCTGAGACCAAAAGAACTAGATAGTGCCCAGCTGCCATTACCAACCATTCTGACCAGGATCACAAGAGAAGCTCCTGGTTAGAATGGGTGGAAAAATGTAGAACAAAATCCCCATTAAAACAAAATTAGTTACTAGTCTGAAAGAGACTGGAGGAAGCCCTGAGACTATCACAGTAAGACAACCTTCTAACTTGAAACTGGAAGACATTCCTAGCCAAATAATAGACCTTGAGGCCAAATAATAGACGGGACTATAAACCAAATATAAACAGCTATATCCATGAAGAATGTGCTTCTTGGAGTGATCAACTATAGCAGACCAAAACGAGAACATTTGCCCAAAACCAAAGATGAGAAGGCAGGGAGGGACAGGGAAACCAGACAAATGGAAATAGGGAACCCAGGGAGGAAATAGGGAGAGTGCTCACACATCGTGGGGATTACAGCCAATGTCAGGGAGCAATCTGTGTATGAATTATTGATTGGAAAACTAATTTTCTATGTAAACTTTCAACCAAAGCACAATATATATATATATATATATATATTTTT